TTCTTCATAAAATATTTCGAAACAAAAAAAATAAATTCGTAATAGTATTTTTGTAATTTTTATGTAGGAATAATGAATTGTAAAATAGGAATGAAATACCATATTAAATAAAAATTTCCATTTTTATATCTCTTTAACTTTTGATTTTACATTAAGTGACTATTATACAAATAATATATACAATTATTTGAGCACCATTCGTAACATGTGTAAAATAAAGATCATCATAAAAACGGAAAACTCAATACTTGTCAAGTATTTTAAATGTTCCGGTTTTCCACAAATTAAAATATAAATAGATAAAAGTATCTCAGTCTATAGAACACAATCTCTTTTAAGATTCACTTGTAGAAAAAATAACATAAAGATATGTGAATGTAATGAAATTGTGAATCAATGGCAAGTATAAAGATGCATGTATGAAAATGCATTATCATTTCACATAAGAAAAACTAGGATTTTTTAAACTCTTTTGTCCAAACTTTAAAATAAATTTAAGTCAATAGTACCAACATTATAAAACATATAACCTAATATTTAATTTATATTTTAAGACTGTTCTTTAACACTACCATCAGGCATTCCAAAGAACACTTTTTTAACCATTTTTATAAAAAGTCCTGTTTCAACAACTCCAGGCATCATTGAGATCTCTGTATTAATTTTATTCCAATTGCTCAGACCTGGTGGAAAATGCCAATCAAGGATGAAATTACCATTATCTGTTATAACTGGACCCTAAAAGAAGATTCATAAATAATACAATTTGTATAATACATATTTATCGACATAGAAAAGAATTTATTAAAGGCAATATTTACAGCTTTAGCCAAAGCCATTCTAACTTGTACAAGTCCACCATAATTATCTTCAATTCTTTTTTGAATGGCAGTATATGCCATAGGAACTACTTCAATAGGAATACCTTTCTTGTATTGTTCACCAAGTTGTTGAGAATTCTTCCTAAAATTATTAAATATTATAAATAAAAGTAAACATATACATCAAATACTTTTACAACACTTACGTATAATCGGCTATTATAACAAATTGATTAGCACAGGATGCAACAATCTTTTCTTGAAGTAGACAACCTCCTCCACCTTTAATGAGATTCATGTCAGAATCAACTTCATCTGCTCCATCAATTGCACAATCTAACTGTTAATATTTAACTAATAATATAAAAATATTTTTGTAAATAACATAGATAAAACATTATTTGTTACTTTAGGATATTTCTCCAAATCGCCCAGTGTAAGATGATTATTCAATATTAGCTGACGAGCTTGAAATGAAGTTGGAATGCAAACAACATTAAGATTTTCTTCCTTTACACGTTCAACTGAAAAATACAATTTTTCCAAACATTAATTTTTATACAAAATGATATCAATACTCTTGTTTAATACTTTAGTTATTATGTTAGTAAAATTTTCTATTTTTGAATTAAAGGATGCTTGTTGCAATTACATTTAAATCAAGTGCAATCTTATCTCCTGATGGGGTCAAAGTACATTATGACGATTTTATGAAAAAAAAATTAACTATAGATATAAACGTTAGCATAAGATCTAAACGTTATTACATTATGAGTTTTGAGAATTAAAATTAAGCAAAAGATAATGTATTACCAAGCCTGTGAACAGCGTATATTATAGTAGAGCCACTACCAATTCCAATAACACTGTTATTCTGTAAAACGATAGTGCGCAAAATTCAAACAGTGAAGTACCGGTGAATTTATATAACCTGCAATTAGAGTGCAATTCGATTAAAGTGGAAATTACCTTCACAAATTCATCAACTGCTTTGTAAGCAGCAACTTTCTTTGCACTCTCGAGAGGTCCCATTTTTGGCAAGATTCTTGAAAAGCTGAGAATATTTGCGAACGAGCGAATCCGTGAACCTCTGGCAAGCACCATGCGTGCATACTGTATTGCTAAACAGACCTAGCATGTACATATTTTCAAAATCATTCTGCGGTTACGACTGTTGAAAACGATCGAATCACAAGTTTGCACTGCGCGCAAATCTGGCGCAAAAATTTAAATTCAAATAATTCTGTTATATAACAATCGAGAGAAGTACGATGATCTTTTCATTACGCAGGAGAAACATAAACGATGCAATTTAATCGAATTTCCATTATATTTAGCATCAGAGGCGAATAACACAAAATACAACCAAACACAATTTACATTTCAATAATTATTATGTATAAGATTTCACTTTAATTCTCTATTATTACTTCAATAGTAATACTCGTCAACACTTTCGAGTTTAACGTGTCACGCACAATATTTCTGTTTTTATCATTATAA